GGGGGGGGGGAGATGAGACGAGGCGAGGTGCGCGTCGTGAGGAGCACACTCACCATCCCGGCGCCGATGCCGCAGCACGCCGCCACGGCCAGGATGTTGAAGACGGCGCTGCCCACGATGGTGCCCACGCCGATGTCACCCTCCGTGATGAAGGTGCCGATGACGTTGACGAACAGCTCCGGGGCGGACGTCGCTGCCGCCATGAACGTCGCCCCGGCCACGTCGTTCGACATGTTGAGCGCTGCGGCGGGAGAAAGGTACGTCAGGGCCGAAAACTCACACATGTCTAGTGGATTAATTAAGATTGCCCGCAATTTTTCTAACGGGCATCGAGTTGGTAGGGCAATAACATACGCTCTCAAACCATTTCTGCCTGATGGTCAGTGGCCTCGTTCACCGTTTGGCCCGGAGTCCAGAAAGTACGCCCATTTCTCATTCGGCAAACTTCCGGGAGCTCGACGCCTGCGAGACTCGGGGTAGGCCACCCCGCAGTACACGCCTGCACTACAGACACGATGTTGCCTACCTATCAGGCACTATCAGGCTTGGGCTGAACCTGGCAGGTTCGCAACTTCGGCGGATGACGGGCGTACTTTCTGGATGACCCCCATGCAACCCGTCCACGTGCGTGCAAAACGGTACAGTATACCAGCGAAAGCGGGCGGCGTTTTGGTCACCTGTCATCACTGACAACATTTGTTGGCTTATTGCTCTGGAAACCTAAGTGTGTACATGTATGCATTACCTCCTGAATATAAACCTGCATGTATGCAGCAGGTAGTGCGTGGGTACATCTACATGGTCATGTAACAAACTACCTGCTAAATACATGTATGTACTCAGGTAATGCACACACTTACACATGCACTTGTGTTTCTAGAGTGGTGCTCACCGTGGCAGATCCTCTCCACGGCGGGGACGAAGTACTTGTCGCACACGACAGCCAGCGCCGCGAACAGGTAGAGTGCGATGAGGGCGTGGAGCACGACGGCGCCATCCTGGCGCTGCTTGTCCGTGAACAGGTCCCGGGGGAAGTCGTCGATGGCCGGGCTCGTGCAGTTGAGCGGCACGGGCGCTGCGGGCATGTGCATGACAAGGCAGACTTCAATCTCAGGGCAAAGCGTCTGGCAAAAGTCGCCTAGCGGGGTTCACACATAAGTGAAAGAATTGGATTTCGAGAGATACAGTACGATAGTACTAAGCTATGGTTTTGCGAAAGAGGCATGAACATGAAACTCTATAGAGAGACCAATAGTTTGAACTATTTGTTTCAAATATTATTTATTTAATATTTAATTTGAGATATGGACAAGTCCGTATTTTAAAATTACAATCATCCCGTTATGGTCTGGTGCCGTATTTGGAATATACTGTGAGTTCCGTAAGAATTCCGTATTTAGCCTACGGGATTGCTAACAGTGCGTGTATGCCAGGTGGCTGATTCACCCCGCGCACATCCGTAGTCATGTTGTACCGCATGCCTACGTGCGGGCGGGTTGTCTATCACTGTAATTTGAGGGTGTCTCAAATGTATACGCCAAAAAGGGTATGCTACAGGATCCAGAGCGATATTTGACGTATAGTATACTTTTGAGACATCTTTTGGCGTATAGATTCTAGACATCTTTGCACAATGCACAACCATTCCCAAGGCACAGCCGCTCGCACTCTGAAAGGCACCCATGTCCTGAATCGCTCGGGATCCTGTAGCATATGCTGTTTGGCATATACATTTTGAGACACCCCCAAATTCGGCATAGGCAAGCCCGTCCGCACTCGCGCGTACAGTACAGCAGTGCTGCCAGAAAAGTTATGCAAAAAAGCGCCCAATACACGTGTGTGCTGTGGGTGGCATCTCCGCCTGCACTAGGCAAACCACATGCACGCCTGTGCAGATGTTGCCTAGTAGGCAGGCGGATATACAAGCCCGTTGCGCACAGGTGCATTGGGCGCTTTTTTGCACACCTTTCTGGCAACACTGCAGTACAGGTACCAGCCACCTGGTCCAGTTCACTTGAGTTCAAGGAGTAGGATGGGTTGACCACCCGCCCGGCGCCCGGCGCGGCGCTCTCCCGCATACCTGCTGTTCTTTTGCCGCGCCCCCATTACCAATTACTTTCCTTAATTCTCGCCCGGCGAGACGACCCCGCCGGCCGGCCGGCCCACGCGGACGTCTTGCACTGCAATTATGTCGTTCATCTCATTGGCGCGGCAGAGCCGGCAGGGCGCCAGTGGGAGCCAGAAGAATGCGTCGCGAGCCGCCCAGTGGGAGCCAGAGGGAGCCAGAGGGAGCCAGAAGGAGCTAGAGGGAGCTAGAGGGAGCCAGAGGGAGCCAGAGGGCGCCAGTGGGAGCCAGAGAAATCGGTGGTGAGCCGCCCAGTGGGAGCCAGAGGGAGCTAGAGGAAGCCAGAGGGCGCCAGTCCGAGCCAGAGGAATGCGTGGTGAGCCGTCCAGTGGGAGCCAGTAGGAGCCAGAGGGGAGTGCGAGGTGAGCCGCCCAGTGTGACCCTGTAGGAGCCAGAGGGAGCCAGCAGAGGGAGCCAGAGGAATGCGTGGTGAGCGGCCCAGTGCTGCGCCGCGTCGACTACTGTGGCACCGTGTGGCTCACGCTGTGTCACTCCCCTTCAGGTACACCCCCAAGATGGAAGGTTCGTTAGATACGGTGGAAATAAAACTATTCTTGTTCACCTTGCGGATACAATCCTTACGTAACAATGTATCCAAGGTGAACCAGTGAACACACGTGGCGGCCGGTGCCGATTACTCGCACGCCACATCGGACACGAATAAGAACACTGTTAAAAGCTCACAGTGAATTTCACTGGAAGCCACAGTGAACCCTGCAGCACTGTTGCTAACCGTTAATTTCCCCGTAAGCTACTGTGAATGTCATTATATTACGTAAGCTACGGTGAATGATGCATCATCACCGTAACTTACTGTGACAGGCGCGGTATAAGGGGGGAGGGCGATGCCCCCCCCCCCCCAAATCGTCTGTAGTGAGCAGCCTGAAAGGTAGGAGATTTGTGATACAAAACCCCTACAGGGGTATGTAGGCAACCCACAGTGCATCGCCCCCCACCCCCTCCTGTCAGCCGGTCCTTGTACCGCGACTGTACTGTGATGATATTCATTCATCTTAGCTTACGGTGAGAAGTCACAAAGAAAATGTATCCTGGCGCAATGTGTTCCCGAGTTCAGATGTATCAGGGGGTAGCAAGCATCGGATCTTGAAGGTTTTCTCTCGTTGTGAAATGTTTGGAACAAACGGTGCATCGTACAGCAAAACCGAGATAAAATTTGAAATCAGCAGAACTTTTGACTCAGGATAGGCCACCTCTGAACCATTGATCGGGTTTATGAGTGGCATTTCGGGCTGACTCTCTACAAACAATATCTTTGGGCCCATGGGCGAGCCCTCGGTTTCCCGCCAAATTCTATTTGCAGCAGTTAAAAGTCCATTGCTTTAACGGGGCTTGACATTTTAAAACAAACGTAACTGTAATCAAGAGGTACATTATAACTGATAAATAAATGCCAAGACAGCAACCAGGGAAGGCTTCAAAC